TTCAGCTCAGGGCATGATCTCATGGTTTGTGAGTTCGAGCCCCCATCAGGCTCTGTCTGGACAGCTCAGACCCTAGATGGAGCCTACTTCAGATTCTGTGTCTCCTTTTCTCTTCTCCCTGCCCCTCCTCTGCTCACACTCTGTCTGACTCTCTCAAAAATTAAAAAAAATATATGCATTGGAATTATGCTTGTAAGGTCTGGTGAAACCCTGAAGTCTGTAGTTCATGGCTTTTAGCAGCGTCCAGGCCTGGCTTTGCTAATGTACCATGGTTATGTAAGATGTGATCACTGGGGAAGGCTGGGTGAAGAGTATATGGGAACAGCCTGCACTCTTTTTACAAATTGTTGTGAGTCTTAAATTGTTTTGAAATAAAACTTAGCAGTTTTTTCTTTCTAAAAACAAGACCAAGTCAACTAGATCATCCAACCTGGTTAACTTTTGTTTTAGCGGTGGCCTCCCTCCACCACCCCCAACCCCCACCGCACCCCATCCCACCCTCCCACCCCCTGCCAACCGTCAGCAGCCCGTGGGTGCCTCCTGACACTTGTAGGGCCCTGTGAAGTACCGACTTGAAAGTGCTGACCCGCTCCCTTCAGATTCCCGAGGAGGAAATCAGAGCCCAAGGAAGTCGAGCACACCACTAGCTAGCAGCCATGGACAGGAACAGAAAGGACCTGGGAGCTTTTGAGGACAGCTGTTCCCTGTAAATCATCCTAAGGCATAGCTCCTCAGCTAACACTGTGGCTTCTTTTGTCAGACGAGGTGAGATTAATTCAACTGGAAATGAGTGTCCGTGCTCCTGCATTCCATTTCTGTGGAGAAAGAGATGAGCTGTCCTTGTGGTCAGAGCAGTGCACAGGCGGGCTGGGCGGCGGGTGGTTTCACAGCTTACCACCCAGCGCGGGACATTTGCCTGGGGCAGAGGACAGGACCCCAGGACCCCAGAGGAAGTCCCCTGCCTTCTTGCCAACTTGGCCTCCATTCCAGCCACCCGTGAGCCCCAAAGTTGATCAGCTTTCCTCTTCCTTTCTTTCCATTCTGGCCCAAGTCCACTATTATTGGAAAACCTTGGGCATCTTGGAGTTTACTTCCAAAGATAATATAACTGTGTAACCTTGTATTTGTCTAAAGGTTTTCAGGTTGCAAAGCACTCACTCATATGTTCCCTAAGAGAAGCCCTGCCCCCCCCGACTTTGATATAGACATTATTTCTGCTTTATGAACAAGTGACATGACTCATCCATGGTTGAAGTTTTTATCAAGACTGAGGTCACAACACAGGTCTCCAGAATCCTGGTAAATGCTCTTTTTGTAGGAGAGGTCTTGGTCATTGTAAAGCGCTTGCACGCACTTGATGATCAGCAAACAGGTGTTATTGTTATCATTATCATAGACATGATCCTTGGCCACTCATGATTTTGGAGTGTGTCATCCTCCACACTCCTACAGAAGGTGGAAGTGATGGTTTCCTCTCTTCCTGTACCTCCAAATGGCTAGACCCTGAAGATGCTGTATGTGGACCAGTTGAGTAAGACTTAGATCTTCCTGAAAGGTGAAGCAAGTTGCCCGTGTGCCACATCTGTGGATATCTACGTGACAACCAACTGGCTGGACAGTTGCCCTGGAGCTGCCTGGCACACCCCGGCTCCAGAGGGCTGTGTGCGAGCTGCCATGTCTTATTTAGTGCCTGTTGTTGATGCCTGCTTTCTGCAGGGAAAGCTGGCTGCTTCCTTTCCTCTAGCATCCTCTTTGCCCTCCACATGGTAGGACGTAACCTCTACTGTCAACATGAGGACTTTTAATTGATCCTGACACTGTTCTGTGCCCCTGACATTCTGCCTAACATCTGGGATATTGGGGAAATGGTGCGATGCTCTAATGGAGGAAGGCTAAGCCCATACTTGAGACCATATTCACAGCTACTACTTGCTAAGGAAAATAATCTCCCAAGGACAGCATTGATTTGTCACACCCTAAGAGACATTTAAAAAGTAAACTGATGACCTACCTCAATATTGCTAAGCATCTGCATACACCTGCACCTAGCACTTCTTAGGCATTCACCAGATATTTATCAAATGGCCTTCTAAAGGAGTGGCCCTCCGGCTTTAGTGTGCCTGCCAACATTAGGATCACGTGAAGGACTTGTTGAACCATGAACCTTGCGGTCTCACTCACAGAGTTTCTGATAAATTTGGTATGGAGAAGGGCTAAATAATTTCTGACCAGTTCCAGGTGATGCTGGTGTCTTACAGAGACTATATTTTAAAAGCCATAGTCCTGAAGCAGAGACAGGCAAAGTTTTTCTGTAAGGGCCAGATACCTAACATTTTAGGTTTTGTAGCCACGCTTTAAGCTTTATGGGCTCTGTCACAACTACTTAACTCTGCCATTGTAGCCACAGAAAATATGCAAATGAGTGAGTCTGGCTGTGTTCCAGTAAAACTTTATTTACAAAACGGGTGGTAGGCTTGTCTTAAAAAATGTGTTGTTGGGGGGTGCCTGGGTGGCTCAGTCAGTTAAGCGTCTGACTTCGGCTCAGGTCATGATCTCGCGGTTCGTGGGTTCGAGCCCCACATCGGGCTCTGTGCTGACAGCCAGCTCAGAGCCTGGAGCCTGTTTCAGATTCTGTGTCTCCTCCTCTCTCTGACCTTCCCCTGCTCATGCTGTCTCTCTCTCTCTCTCTCAAAAATAAATAAAACATTAAAAAAAAATTTTTAATGTGTTGAAAATATAAAACTTTGTTTAAAAATAAGAGCTTGGATGGATTTTTTCAAAGCTCTTGGATGGGAATCAGTGTTAAAGATGCAAACATTGGTCGGATCCTGTCTGTGCCCTTTCCTGGCCATGTGACTTTGAAGGCCACTAAAGTCTCTGTAGGCTGAAGATAATCATACAGTGAAAAATGGGGGGAGTTGTAACATTTATCAAGTCTGATGCTACACATTTAGTGTAATATTCTTTATATGAGTCTGCATGATTGAAATATTCCAGAATTTTAAAATTTATGACTTTAAAAAGTAATTGCTGTTGACCCATGAACAACATAGATTTGAACTGCTTGGATCCACATATACATGGATTTTGTACAGTATTACATTCTCTTCTGTTTGTCGTAACATGTTTCTTCTCTAGTTTCATTGCAAGACTACAGTTTACATGACACATAGCGTACAAAATATGTGTTAATTGACTATTTTGTGTTCCTGGTAAGGCTTCCAGTCAGCAGTAGGCTATTAGCTAAGTTTGGGAGGAGTCAAAGTTATATGTGGATTTTCAACTGTGGAGGATGGGTGTCAATACCTCTAACCCCCTCCCCACCCATTGTTCAAGGGTCAGCTGTGTAATTCATTGGCATATGTGGCTTGGGTTTTAGATTCTAAAGTCAACCAAAAGATAAGTCATCCTGTGAAATCAAAATCACCTTTGGAATTCTCTCAAATCCCTACCAGCATCTAGGCTCTTAGAAAGTCAAGAGCCAAGAGCATCTTTCTTTCGTGTATCTTTTGTATACAACGCTAGACTAAATGACCTTGTCTGCAGTGGAGCTGTTGATCTCATGCCCATCCCCCAAACCCTGTTCCCCTTTTGTCTTCCCTTAATTCATTTAATGCTAGCTCTGTAGTTACGGCTGATTGGGCCACCAAGAATGATTCAGGAGGAGGAATTTAAATAGGAAGTGTCCTAATAAACAGACTTGAGTATGAAATTGGTTTTTTTTTTTTTAATGTTTCTTTTTGAGAGAGAGAGAGAGAGTGCATGCAGGAGCAGGGGAGGGGCAGAGAGAGAGGGAAACACAGAATCTGAAGCAGACTTTAGGCTCTGCGCTATTAGCACAGAGCCCAGTGCGGGGCTCGAACTCACAAACTGTGAGATCATGACCTGAGCCGAAGTCAGACGCTCAACTGACTGAGCCTGAAATTGTTGTATATTTCAAGTAGGACATAAAAGTCTTTCTGCTCAACCCTCTATGTTTGCATATTAATAATGGAGGTCCAAGAAGCAGAGGCGCTAACCTACCTAGAGTGACTCACCCAAGCATTTGATAAGACTGACTTGTTTTGCCCTCATAACAGCTATGTAAGATAGGACTGTGAATTTCCCAGTTTACAGTTGTGGCAGAAACAAGAAGTTATTTGTCCAAGGTCATGCTTCTGGGACATAGTCCCCTGGAACTGAGCCCAGGCAGTCTGACTGCAGCGTCCATGCTCTTTACTTAGTCTGCTGGGCTGTATGTAATGTTTGCTTCCTTATCTGCAATCTGAGTATGGATTGAGGAACAAAAGGCTGCTTGAGAGAAAGCAGTTTCTGTACCTTCGGTAATTTGTATGTTGTTCCAGGGAAGGTAATGAAATTGCAGCAGGGGGCTCTGGGAGTGTGCTTGCCGTGCATTTCCAATTTTCACCTAATTATCTTGGAGTTTTCCCGTGCAAATGCACATAATGTTATGGGAAATAGTGCAGAAGAGGGAAGGTGTCTCTATTGGTTTGGGTGCACATCTGGTCTTAATGTTGTGTTTCTAGAAAACTTTCCCAAAAGGAGATCACCCAAACTCCACTAAGCAGATCCAGGATCATTCAGTTCAGCTTCACAAATAGCCCCTGATTTTGTGTCTACCTTGTGCCGCAGCCTGCATAGACACCACAGCGACAGCAATACCATGACATCTAAAACGCTGTGTTTGTCCTCAAGCACGATTATGACTCTGGGTCCTGAAGTGGTAACATTGGTGGAAACCCTGGTGTGTGCCAATTACACCCCGTAAAGAGGGGAAACATGGGTATTTATTACATGGCCCAAAGTGGGCAGCTCATTAAAACACAATGCGGCAAAGTCACCACCGCCCAGTTGTATTATCCCAGAGAATAGTGCATAGTCTGGTTCTGTTGAACCTTGACATGGGGAGGGGAAGAGGCAGAGCCTGAACTTGGCTTAGTCCAAAAAAAATGTGTTTCTTTCATAACTGGAGTGAACAGTGTGCTTCTTCTCCCCTCCAGGACCCCAGGAGCAAGCACAAGTTTAAAATCCACACTTATGGAAGCCCCACCTTCTGTGATCACTGTGGGTCATTGCTGTATGGACTTATCCATCAAGGGATGAAATGTGACAGTAAGTAAGTTTTCTTTTCCAGTAGATCAGGTGAGGCTCTGCATGCAGCTTATGTCCAAGGTTTGCAGGGTACTTCAGGCAGGGTTTGCAGAGCACTTTAGGTTTAATAACTTTTCAACACAAACTCCTCAATAAAAAAAAAAACCCTTTCAAACACATACCACACCAGAAAAGTGTAGGATCGCTCCACTGTCAATGTGCTGATTTACTAAACTACTTACTTGCTGATTGAAACCACCCCCCCACACACACACACAAAAGAAAACCCGATTTATAAATGAAGTTAGTGCCGTCACAGTTTTTTGTGGTAGAAATCTTCCGTCACTGTAAAATGCAGGCTACTCAAACCCTGAAGCAAATGCCATGTGTTGAAAGAAGCCTTTCCACCTCCAGATTCCACATTTGGTTAGGCTTCACGATAAGCTAAGCAACCATAGTCATTATCTTCCTGTGTCTCTAATTAGTGGGTGGACTGTGGAAAAATCCAGTAGGCTCTCCTTAAAACTGAAACTACAAGGAAAATAAAAACCAGACATCTTAAGTTCACTCACCCTGCACGTTCATGGACGGACCAAGTTTCTGTGAGTCCAGTTCGAGATGAAATCACAAAGACCACAGACAAAGAAGGCATCGGCCCTCCCGCTTTCTCCTGTTTTGTTCTGTATGGTATTCGTCATCAAGCACCAGACAGAAAGAAAAAACGGCTATGGAAACTCTTTGTTTTCGTCGTTCTTATGAGATTCTCCAGGCCGTTTATCTGTTTAAATAAAAGTTTCCACTTTTAGTACATAAAAGGGTAATTACCGAACCTGTTTTTCTAGTAGACGGGAGCGTTGTGGAAACATCCATATATTGCCATTCATTAATTATTGCTGTTATGGCCAAGAGCTTTCTGTGTGTGTCCTACATGGAACAAAGATGGTATGTATATAAAAGTCAAGGTTAAATGGACATTATAGAACAGATAGATGGTTTCTCAGCACACAGCGTTTCTTCAAGAGAACTGTCCGATTCAATAGCCTAAACAAAACCTTTGTGATGATCCAGACCTCTGGTTTTCTGTGCTTTGAGAAACCCTGGGATTCCAAAGACATGTTTTTTTCAGGGATTCTGCAAAAGTGAATTCTAAGTGCATTTGTAAATACACTTCTCAGCACTTTAAAACTTGGAACAAGAGCAAACACTTCAGTGTGTTACACACTCAAGTGGTACAGGTTGGAGATGATGGTGGAAACACGGTGTTGCCAGCCTCACTCACTGGGCGGAGCACGCAGCCAAGTTCCTGCGGCCGTTATCCACTTGACCCACCCGCCAAGCAGGTTGTCTGTTGCTGAACGGCGTTTACCATTTCTACGTACGCTTCTGTTCCGAGCCTGGATTCGCGGGTGCTGGACAAGTTTAACAAAACACAGAAGTGCTCTGTCAGGGCTGAACCGAGGCAGCTGGCTTCACAATTCTGTTTGGATTAGCAGGCTCTCTGGGTTATCCACGGATGTCCTTATAACAGATAAATGGCATAAATTTGAATCTGTTAACTAGGTTTATGCTAATGAAGAAATACTCATCTGGTTTCTATGTTAGGATTCCACTTAAGATTTTGTTGGAAAAATGGGTTCCGCTACTAAAAAATGTTGACAACCGCTGACCTGGCCCAGTGCTGTGGTTTGGTTTCGTTTTGTGGCCAACTCATTCCCTTGGAGTCATAGGGCTTCTGGGGCCTGTACTCCTTCCCCAAGAGAAACCGATGAACACATGGGTGCCAGGACCCCCACCCCTCTCTTAGCTTCTGCAGAGAAGGTATCTCTTTCTGTGTCTTCAACCCTCGTAGGGTTATAACACTGTGCAGTCCTACCTGGTGGGGGAAAGACATTAGCAGCCACTGTCCAGAGCAGCCACTCTGCTTGCAGAGTGGGATCTGAGAGAGCACTTGAGTTTTCAAGATCTAAAGGCCACTAATGGTGGCATCAAGACAGGGATACAACCCAGGGCGCTTTCGCGTCCCTGTTGCGCCTACCCTTTGCAAGGAGGCTGCCGTTTATTTCTTTGAAGTTGCAGTTCTGCCCAGGCACTGACAGATTGAATTTGGTTAATACAGGCCCGATGGATAACACACCTTTTCAGGAGCCTTTATATCGACTTCATCAATATAATGATTCTGAACAGTTAGCTTCGGAAATAGAAACCTAAACGGAATCCATGTTTGTGAATCGATAATTGTCCTTTCCTCATCTGTGTCTGTTACCCTACTTTCCGCCTTGAATTGTAGCAAATATACATTATTTGCGATGTTTTTTGCAATTCATTTCACCATGTTAAACACTCAAAATGAAACGCGCTTGAAGGCTCCACTTTGAAGGTTACGGAAGAGCCTCACAGCATTCCGTCGAGGGTGTGCAAGGACTCCAGCGGTCCTCGCTCCTCTTGGCAGCCTAAAGGGACAAGGACAAGAGACCTGCGACACCCGCACAGGCACTCATGTTCGTGTTCAGCACACAGGATTCTTTCCAGGGTTTCTTGGGTTCACGGCAGTAAGACTGATCTTTTTATTCCTCCCATTCTCACCCACGTAATGTCAGCTGGTAAGGAATGCCTCAGCACGCCAGGCGTGTATTTGTTTTACTTAGAATAATATTTAAATACCTAAAGACAGGTTTAAAATCTCAATACAAGTTCTTTAAAAAAAAAAAAAAAAAAAAAAGAAGCAGCAGCAGCAGCAAGGTACTGAAGCCTTCTCGAAAATACAGAGTTAACTAAGGCAAGAAATTTTCTGAACTTCCTCTACTCGCTCCATGGACTCTCAGTCTTCCTGAATGGTCAGCTCAGAAAGGCATAGAGATTCTTTGGCAAAGAATATCCTCTGTGTAAAATGTGCCTGTGGGGTGTCTGGGTGGCTCATTCGGTTAAGCGTCCGACTTCAGCTCAGGTCATGATCTCACGGCTTATGGGTTCGAGGCCCGCGTCGGTCTCTGTGCTGGCAGTCTGCTCAGAGCCTGGAGCCTGTCTTTGGATTCTGTGTCTCCCTCTCTCTCTGACCCTCCCCTGCTCACACTGTCTCTCATACAAATAGAACATTAAAAAAACAATTTAAATGTGCCTATAATTTGCCTCTGCGCACATGAAATACTAATTAGCCTATGCTTGGTACGCGCTTACCTGCGCAAATTCTGTGTAGGGGTAGATATCTGAAGCATGCACAGATGAGCAGACAGGGGTATTTTGCTTCAGTTAAGACTGGACAAATATGGCATGGGTATTTTAAGGATATTGTCACTCACACGAAGCCTGTGTGGTAAGGGACATCTGCTAACAGTTCTTGGTGTCACCAAAAACATAGCAAAGTATCAAGTTAGAGGATAGCTCATTTTCACTTATGTTCGTCCAGCAAAACACTGAGGCGGCGATGGTTTGAGCCCATATGCCCAGCCTTACCCTTTGCTTTCTTGATTCACAGCCTGTGATATGAACGTGCACAAGCAGTGTGTGATCAACGTCCCCAGCCTCTGCGGGATGGACCACACAGAGAAGAGGGGCCGGATCTACCTGAAGGCCGAGGTCACCGATGAAAAGCTCCATGTCACTGGTAAGGCATGCTTGTGCAGGTGTGAGGCATGCAGCCTCTCCGAGGGCATTGGGGTCAAGGTCAAGAGGGCTTGTCACTGCCTGAGAGCCCGTCAGCCTCAAGGCCACCGATTCCCCGTGAACACATCCCCCCAGAGACCGTGCCGTGCGCCCACTCCCCAGCTGCTCAAAGGCCTCCGAGTCAGAACTGCTGTGGAGACTGAGGTGCTCTGACAGCACGGCCCATGTACTGTTCCCCAGTGACAGGGGGACAGGGAGGCCAATTAAACAGAATGATGTTGGTGGGAGTGCACCAGGGTCGGGGGAGCTGTAGGAGCATCTGACCTGTGATGGTGTCAGGCTGCGGTGACCCGATCAGCCCACCCTCCCGAGGACACCAACAGGAAACCGCCATCATGTTACCGAGCTACGTTTCCTCTGTGTCAGGCGCTAAGGCTTCACCGTAGATCACTGATGTAGCCCCTGCAAGCACCCGCTTAGTAGCCTCGTTTTCCAGAAGGGGAAACCGAGGCATAGAGAGACGAGACCTTGGGAATGTCACAGAGCTAGTGAGGAGCCTGGGCTGAACAGCGCCATCTAGCCTCCGACCCCGTGCTTCTCATTATCGCACCAAGTGTGCCTCCTGTAAACAGTGCAGACACGGGACCAGGATTCCCCACCCACGGCCCAGAACATTCCCTCCCGGGGCTGTGTCTGTGTGGGCTCTGCCTAAGCATGGCTTTTCCTTTGGTCTTCCCACCAGATCCACTCTGGTATCTCCGCACCTTGAATCAGGTCGTTCTAGAGACTTGTTGGGCCCAGGACGCACCACGTGTCCTCGGACACTTGACAGATCTGTGCCGGGATCCGCTCTGTGTGGGCTTATGGCCCATGGGTCAATGGCAGCCTTGTTCCTTTGTCCTGGGGGTTCCCTCCTGTGCCACCCACCACACCCTCTCTTTTCTTTCCCAAGGTGTTTGATTTCATTTGAATAGCAAGGGTATTATGTTTCTATTTGTATTTAGGAATTTTAAACTATCAAACAAATGGAAAGACTGTATTGTTATTTACTTGTAAATGACGGAAGGTAGAAGAAGGGGTGGGGGGGGAGAGTTCCAGAGAAACTCAACTGCTGAAAACATCCTCACATTTTTTTCCTTTGAAAAATAATCCAACTCTCTACCCAGTGCTGCCCCCTCAGGTAAGAATTTAGAGAGAAATCAAAGGATATTGACGTGCTGCTGAGAAAGGGCCAACACACTTGTGAAACAAACCAAACAGAGCTCACGGTCAAGACTGAATTATGAACAAAATCCTTGTCATAGACACACAGTCTCTTTTGACTCTTTGGATTTAGGGACATTCCTCCATTTTCTCAGACCATTGCTTTTGCACCCTTGCCTATGGGGCCGTGGCTCTCCCCTCCATGTCCCTTTGATCCCACTGGCGCTGCTGGCGGGGTCCACGCTACCCTCGAGGCTGGCAGCCGGCGCCCCTCTGGCCTTGTGGGCGCCAGTGCTGTCTGCCGAGAGGAAGCGAGTCTCCTTGGGGCCACGAGAATATCTGTACCGCCTCAGCCTTACACTTGCTCTCTTTTCTACCAAGGCTCTTGCCTCATCAAAGTCATGTGCTGGGGGGCGGGGAGCGTGCAGTTTAGGAGAAAATGATGGTAAAGCAGTCCGTGGTAAGGGATTCAGAAGCGTGAGGTAGAATTCCTGTTGGCCAAACATTGCAGTGTTTTTCCTTCGCTTTGTAAAGCCGCTGCTGTTGGCAGTGTAATGAACGTTGCAGGTGAACAGTCAGAGCCGAGTTGTGAGGGGCACAGCCCACCGGGAGGCCAGAGCGCCTGGGCAGGGCTGTTAAGCGTTCAGCTCTCATTCATCTGGTTTCCGAATGCAGCAGAGCGCACTGCGTTCTGCACCTGCCCCGTGCCTTCTCCCGGCCGAGAAGCAGCAGCCGTATGGTGCTGCCTGGGACTTCCACAGCCCACGCCGAGCCGTGAGAGCACGTGTGAAACTGCACCAAGGGGCACAGGTGCCCTGGCCAGGGTGACACCTGGTACACAGAAGGGCAAGGTCAGGTCCCATCCTGTGAGGACAACGAGGCGTGTTATCCTAGGGCTGCCACGCTCACTGCCCCACCGTTGCCTAGAGTTGACCTTGATTCACAGCTGTAAGATCATCTTAGGAGACAACACCCTTCATTGAGTTAGACATTTCACGCAGGAAAGCCGATGAGCGTAGCTTAGGGCAACAGTCTAAGTCAAGTCTCTTGAGAATTAGTGCAAAATGTTTTGTGTGGATCTAGCGCTGCTCTAGGAGTATGATTCCAGCAATGGCTTAATTATAATAGCAGCAGCAGCCAACACGAGTGGTGCCCACAGAGGGGGCACTTTCTTTTTTTTATTTGAGAGAGAGAGAAAGTAGGAGAGAGGGGCAGAGGATGAGAAAGAGAGAGAGAGAGAGAGAGAGGGAGGGAGGGAGGCTCCACACTCAGCACAGAGCCCAATGCGGGGCTCAATCCTATGACCCTGGGATCATGACCTGAGCTGAAATCAGGAGTCCGACGCTGAACCAGCTGAGCCACCCAGTGCCAAAAGGGCCATTTTCTAAGCACTTGCCATAGTTAACTTCTACAAACCTGTGTGGAAGTTTACTTTATTATCTATTTTAAAGATGAAGATACAAAGAAATTAAGTGACTTGCACCAAGTCAAGTAGGTGGTAAATTTAGTAGTTAAATGTTTCATTGCCAGAAGTAGAGAGATTTCAAGGATAGTGTCAATAAGAATTGGAGCCTCATCTTAGTTCTGGCTGCTGTAATAAATACTACAGACTGGGTGGCTTAAATAACAAATATTTCTTTAGCACAGCTCTGAAAACCGGGAAGTCCAAGATCAAGGTTCCTGGTGAGGACGCTTATTTTGGTTTGTAGGTGGTTGTCTGGCTGTGTCTTCACTTGGGGGTGGACAGAGAGAAGAAGTAAGCTCTTCGCTGTGTCTTCTTATAAGAGCACTGATCCCCTCATGAGGCTCCTGCTGTCATGACTTCATTATTTCCCCAGGGCCCTATATTCAGGGAGTTACGGGTTCCCATCACCTTAGGGTTTAGGGATTCAAATTATGAATTCTAGGGGGACACATAATTTAATTCATAGCAAGTCTATTTGTAAAATATGGTCGTCATTTGTGTCAAGGAAACCCAATCCCAAGTCTGAAAGGCAAACTCAAGGAACCAAGTAATAGGCAATCATTTGTCTAAAACTTTTAATTTGGAGTAAGTTGAGATTTTCAGAATCAGAGCTAAACTTGATGTAATGAGAACACAAATACAAATAATAAACCATAACAAGGAGAGCTTACCGTCTAAATGCAAAGAAAATAAAAATTTCAGAAGCAATACACGGTTCCCTTCACCCAGTCCCCCCTTCTGCCATCTTAACGTTCTTTTATGACCATGTCTTTTTTGGGTTTTTTTAAATGTTTTATTTCTTTTTGAGAGAGAGATAGAGACAGCATGAGCAGGGGAGGGTCAGAGAGAGAGGGAGACACAGAATCTGAAGACAGGCTCCAGGCTCTGAGCTAGCTGTCAGCACAGAGCCCAACGCGGGGCTCGAACCCACGAACCGCGAGATCATGACCTGAACTGAAGTCTGACGCTTAACCAGCTGAGCCATCCAGGTGCCCCTATGACCATGGTTTAAGTATCAAAGTAGACGCATTTTAATATAGCACCCAATAAATTTATTTTAAAAAGTAGGTGCCTGTGTAGCTATAGTTAGTCACTAGAAATTGCTTTAAAGAAGAGCCAAAGAGAAGACATCGGACTTATTCCAGTAGGAAAAAAGTCCAAGAGCTATAGCGCGAAGCCCCTTTGGGGCGGAACCTGCTGAAGATGCACCCCGCCCCGCATTACCTGCTGGACCTCCTAACCTAGGGGTTTAGGGCACAAGTTTGTCTTGACGCATGTTTTAAATATCTGTAACTACCATTTATTGAGTACTTACTATATACTTACTGCTGATAAGACTTTCTTTGTGCTGAGTGCTTTCTATTCCTTGCTTCATTGACCCCTCAAATGGCACCACAAACTGCTATTGTTATCCTCGATTTTGCAATACACATATGAGCTGAGAGAAGGGAAGAAGTTATTACAGGGTGGAAAGTGACGGCATTAGCGCTTGAGTCCACGTCTGACTCCCACCCCCTTTCAGCCCAGAGGCTGTCACCCTCCCATTTCTCTCATATTAAAGGGGCTCCTTTTGAATAAATAGCAAGGCCCATATTCAGCAGTCTGTCCACAGGTTCTGTGAAGGCACAGAAGGGCCACGTGTGAGACTTGAAGCCAGGGGAGAAAGAAACTAACTTTAAAGGGAATTCATAGACAGTCCCAGTGCATATAAAATTAAATGCTTGAGTATGTGGTGCTAAATGGTACACCATCGGGGAGACGGAGAGCATCGCAGACACTTGGGAGCGGAGGGAGAGAGGTCCAGTAAAGGGCTCAATAGAATGGCAGAGTCAGCCTGGCTTCACTGAGAACGCAGGTACCCAGAGGAACCATCACGAGTAGAGCTTATGTCCAAATGAGAGTGCTATCTTGGAAAACGCTTTTAAACCCTGAACAGCTGCGTTAATTGTTAGATTAGCTCATCTATCTCCCTTTTTACCTGTGCAGAATCACTCAAATTGGAAATAATTCCCAAACTAAAATAGAAACTCCCAACAGACTCCTGCTTTGGGGCAGAAATCAGCCTTTCGAAATCAGAGAGGAGTTTCCTTTCTAGATCGACGTGGTGTTTGTGGGAAAGGGCTCCGCTTTAGTGGTATATTTTTATTTTTTGCCTTTGGGCAGTGGCGCTGATATTATCTGAACTGTGTCATTTTTATTTCTTTCAATATGCGATTTTAATAGGTTTTCTACATTCCTGTGTGCTTTTTTTACTTGGGTTTCAGAGGAGTGGTAAAAAAAATTCCCTCGTGAGAACAAATTTTCAATTTAATGTTGTAAGTAAATGGAAAAAA